CTTGGCCTGAGCATTTGTGTTTAAGTCATTTCAAAAAACTGATTTTAAAAGAGAATTAAATCTTAAATGCTCTTAAACACTTATTTCTGAGTGCTAATGTTACAGGTGATTTTGCTGCAGGCAATTTGTGTAATTCTGGAGTCGATTGGGAGTTTCCACATGGCATCTGATCAGTCAGTTCCTTTAAACAACAGTTACATGAGTTATTTATCTCTAAGTGACTAGGAGTTCCTTGTCTGGGTGATTTGCTCGGTGGTTCAATTTGTCTTTGGAAGCTTATCTTTGGATGGCTAGGGTTTGGAAGACTCCACCCTATTGGTTTTCAACATTCAACAGATGCTTTGTTTTACTGTAGGTTACTACTGCCCTAGTGGTGATGTGAACTACGCTAACTATGATTGTCTCAGTGGACACTACTGTCCAGATGGCACTGAGGCATGGAACCAGTACCCATGTGTAGCTGGGAAATACAACAACATATCTCATCGTACTAAAGTTGAAGACTGCTTAGATTGTCCAGGTTGGTACTGTTTCTTTTATTAAATTATGTATTTTATTGAGTCTGGGAAAACTCATCTTGTAAAAACTATGAACGTGCAGTTTAAAAAATAATAAAATTGACAGTAGAGATATTTTGAGGAGGAAACAGTGATACAAATATTATTATCATATAAATTGTAATCTCAATTGGATATTTTCTCATTCTTCCTCTTCTGTCTTGCGTTTCTGTGATCATATTACTCCATTTTCATTCAGGTGGACAGTACTGTGAATAAACAGGCCTGACAACTTCAACTGGCCTATGTAAAGCAGTTTATTATTATACTGGTAGGTCTGCAACTGCGTGACCAGAGAATACTGCCCTGAAGGATCCATTGTGCTACTTATTATTTAGGAGTAATGTCTGGTGAGTGTTTCGGAGGATATTACTGCACATCATCAGTTACTATGCCTAACCCCAGTAATGATGGTACCACTGGTATGAATTAAGCAAAAATGTTTATGTCACAGAAAAATAAAAATGTAATAAAAACTAGTGAGACCAATTGCATGACAGTTATACAGGTTGTCAAATGGCATTGTGCCCCCCCCCCTCCCCCTTGCACAGCATAAACTAGAAGTACCTATACATTCTGTATGTTATTGGAAATAGCATTCAATGCGTGATAAAATAAACAGCAGATGACCAAGGTCAGGTATTGCTACATATTTTTTCACATATTTTTTCACAACTGAAGTATACTAGTATGGTGCTCTTTTTAATGATTTTGACGAATTCCTGCATAGACTTTTTCGGCATTGACATATACACAAGCAACAACTCCCTTAAATACTGCAGATCATATGAGGTCCATATTAATGGATAAAACAGAACACCTTATTGAAGCTACAGAGAACAGATATTCCAAAGCCACCCTGCACAAGGACCTCTAAAAAGTATTGAGATCTCTTGAGAAAGACATTGCTTTTCTCCATGGCTTTTATAACTCATGTCCAGCTAGTCACAGCCATTTTCCGCTGCCCAAGGTGATCATACTCACTTTCAAAAATTAGTTCAAAATGTGTCTTATTTTCTGTCATAAATTTTCATCTTTTCACACTTTAACAACAATTACATGCTCTTTCCAAAGGTATATAGTATGTATGTGTACTTCTCCTACTTTATGCTGTGGATGGGGGGGGGACACAACGCCATTTGACAACCTGTAAAATAACCTTTTTCACCACTTCAGTGTTCTTCCAAATTAATGATAATGTTTCAATAAGTAAATCATTATTGAAGTTGTTTTAGTATTGACAATTTCTTTTATTATTATTTTACACTTGCAATCTGCTAGTACCTGCTGCACAATATGATTTATAGAACATTCATGCAATTCAACAGTATTACTCAAGTTTGTATAATTTATTATTTCAGGGGAAATTTGTCCTCGTGAAGAATTCTGTCCAAATGGTACAGCTGCTCCTCAACTCTGTCAGGCTGGTTACTACCTCAACAGCACTGGCAATGATGACGTCTCAGACTGTGAACTGCGGGCTTTTGTTGTGCTGGTAGTGGGAATGATGCCCCAATTGGCCTTTGTTCTGCTGTATAATTCTATCCTGGGGGTCAAGATGATGATTCCTCTACTGGGTATAACTGCAAGGAAGGTAAATGGCTCTTATGAGGAAACATTGATTTTGTAAACTTTTATGATGATCCAATTTCTCAACTGATTTCAAATGGATTTTTATTTACTGCACATATATTTTGACTTGTTATTTGTATAAGGTCACTGTTGTTCCACTTGAGTGATGTTCATAATTTCATATATTTATTAACTTGTTATGTTTAAGTCACTATTGCCCCACTGGAAGTGAAGCTCCTATCTGATGTCCCTCTGGCTCATACCAAGACAAACTGGGCGTGGCATACTGCAAGGATTGTCCACAGGATTTATACAGTGATATTACAATGGCACCAATCATACTCTACAATACTTCATATTGCCCCATGGCTGAGTTAGTAAACGAGTAAGTAGACTGACTGACTTTTTATCGTACCTAACAAGAGGCGTCTCACTTTTCAGCTTGTCTACAGGTTTCCAGCCAAACAATTTGAGGGATTCATCTGAAATTTTCAGGAATGTTTCTACATATCAACGTCAAGAACTGATTAGTTTTTGGGCATTCTGGGTAAATTTTAAGGTGGCCATTTTGGATTTTCCATCCTAAAATCTTCACTTTCAAGACTTGTCTACAGGTTTTCAGCCAAACCATTTGAGGGGTTCATCTGAAATTTTCAGGGATGTTTCTACATATCAACGTCAAGAACTGATTAGTTTTTGGGCATTCTGGGTAAATTTTAAGGTGGCCATTTTGGATTTTCCGTCCTAAAATCTTTACTTTCAAGACTTGTCTACAGGTTTCCAGCCAAACCTTTTGAGGGATTCATCTGAAATTTTCAGGGATGTTTCTACATATCAACATCAAGAACTTATTAGTTTTTGGGCATTCTGGTTAAATTTTAAGGTGGCCATTTTGGATTTTCTGTCCTAAAATCTTCACTCTCAAGACTTGTCTACAGATTTTCAGCCAAACCATTTGAGGGATTCATCTGAAATTTTCAGGGATGTTTCTACATCTCAACGTCAGAACTGATTGGTTTTTGGGCATTCTGGGTAAATTTTAAGGTGGCCATTTTGGATTTTCTGTCCTAAAATCTTCACTTTCAAGACTTGCCTACAGGATTCCAGCCAAACCATTTGAGGGATTCATCTGAAATTTTCAGGGATGTTTCTACGTATCAATGTCAAGAACTGATTAGTTTTTGGCCATTGTGAGTAAATTTTAAGGTGGCCATTTTGGATTTTCCGTCCTAAAATCTTCAATTTCAAGACTTGTCTACAGATTTTTAGCCAAACCATTTGAGGGATTCATCTGAAATTTTCAGGGATGTTTCTACATATCAACGTCAAGAACTGATTGGTTTTTGGGCATTCTGGGTAAATTTTAAGGTGGCCATTTTGGATTTTCCGTCCTAAAATCTTCACTTTCAAGACTTGTCTACAGGTTTCCAGCCAAACCATTTGAGGGATTCATCTGAAATTTTCAGGGATGTTTCTACGCATGAAAGTTTAGAACTGATTAGTTTTTGGGCATTCTGGGTAAATGTTAAGTTTTTAGATTTTCCATCCTAAAATCTTGTCTATCGAGGCTTGTCTACAGGTTTCCAGCCAAACCGTTCAAATTTTTTACATATGTTACACAGTGATAAGTTCTAGAGCTGATTAACTTTTCTGCGGCCATCTTGCTTTCTTGGTCAACAAGACCACAATGCTGTGTTTTAGGTACGATGTTGTTCATGTCTGTGCCTTGTTAGCAGCCCTCAGCTCAGGATTTCATTCTGTGTTTTACTTAACCAAATATTATCGTCAGTAAGAACATGCAGTGATTGTGGTTGTGATTGAGTGACATCCTTGTTGTCCACTGATTTAGTCATTGATAGGACATGAGCAAAAACAAACCATTGCTTGCTTAGGTATAATTACAATGTAAATATTTTTGTCCCTTTCATGTCATTAAATGTGACATTATATGAAATGAAAATAATAGAGATTTCTTTACAGAATCACTATAAATTAGAAGAATGACAGTTTTATGGACAGTTACTTTAGTCCTTTTATTTCATAGGGTACTTCTGTGAAGTAAGCGCAACATTTGCAACAGAGAATCCCTGTCCTGTAGGGACATTCAACGGCCAAATCCATGCATATGGTATACAGTTCTGTCAGCCATGTACAGGAGGAATTTACTGTGAGACATAAGGGCTGCCTGAGCTTACAGAGCCATGTGACCCTGGTAAGTGATCCTTTACCCCTTGTTAACCTTTAACCTATAATTGAAACTTCTCTATTATATATTCCCCAAGTGTATTCTACATACCAGGTATTTTCGGTATTGTAGTTAAAAAACAGCTTTTTGCATGAAAAGCAATCTGTTTTTGTTCTTCTTTATTAAGTAGAAACCATCATCAGGGCCTCATCAACCTCTTCGTAAATATGAGAGGATATTAAAGATAAATGGATAATTTGAATTGTAAACAGTATTTTACAATACAGGTTACTTCTGTGCATTTGGATCAGAAATTACCATACCCTTCCTTGGAGCAAGTGCTGATGAGTGTCCCACAGGTCATTATTGCCCCCAACAGTTCTCTGCCCCACTAGCTTGTCCCCCAGGGACATAAAACTGTGCAACTAGGAGGACATCTGTAGGAAACTGTCAGAACTGCACTGGTGGGAATTACTGTCCCAAATAGAATATGACTGCAGTGGGTTCACCCTGGGATGCTGGTATGTAGCTTGATGCAGTATGAGAGGGGATAGGCTGATTTCAATCAAAACTTTCTCTGGTCATTTTCATGACTTGGGTTTTACAAAAAGAACATACTGTCAGTTACTGCACTTGCCATTAGGAAAACACCCAACATTAGATATTAGACTGATTCATTGTGATTCATAAATGGTACTGTTCAAACATATCATTTTAATTTCATTTTATTTTACTTTGTACTTACAGTTAACTGCAGTGCCAGTTTCTACTGCCCCCAAGGTGAGATCACTGAGAACCCTCAGCCATGCCCCATAGGCTACTACTGTCCTGAGGGCACATATGACTCATTCATCTACGACAGTGACGGATACCAAGGCAACATTGGTCAGAGTGAGTGAAAGTTATGTCCTGCAGGTTACTATTGTGATAACAGTAATGGTGCTGTGGTGATTAATGAAACAGTGACATGTCCAGCTGGATACCACTGTTCCCATGGTGAGTGAGAACTTAGCTTGCATAATCAAGTCTCAACTAAATAATTGTTAAAATAGCATTTCTATTAGAGAGGTTTCGCACATTTTTACTTAATTCACCAGATTTAGGCATAGCTGTTCGATCGGAATGAGATAGGGTTGCAGATGCGTTTTAGCCATATCCTTTATGTGAAACCTCCCCAATAATTTAAGAATTTTACTTACGTTTAAAATAACTGATGATTCAAATCTTTATATTACACAAGGTGTCAAGCTACTGTCATTTTATGATGAAAAACTAAAAAATATTCTTTACATTTTAATCTTCATGAGTAAAAAGCATGCCATACTTCTAATCAAAACACAAAGAAGCAAAAATTACTATGCACCACCTATATCTACATATCTACCTATATCTACATATCGTCCTATTACTGGATTTTCTCGCATATACACCCCACTAAATTTAGGCCCATGGGCCAAAAATCGAATGTAGTACGCTTATACGCCCATGGGCCTATAAAAAATGACTATTTATTGATTTTTTCAATAAATTCAAGAGTATTTTTCACTGCCAGATCGTTCTGTCGTTACTTTGTTTCAACATTAAGTTCAACGCTGTGCCGTAAGTGGCAGTGGTGGATCGTTCCGTTGTTACTTTGTTTCAACATTAAGTCCAAGGTTGTAGGTGACATTTCCTTTATAATTCTTACAAAACATGTGGTAGGACTACAACAGTAGGTACGGTAGTCTTTGTATTCATCAGCTCTTCTCACCTTTACGCCCACTGGGCTAAAATTCGAAAGTAGTACACTTATACGCCCATGGGCGAAAAATAAGAGGTAAAATAACAGACGAAATTACCCCTTCTTTCAGTTATACGCCCAGGGCTTATATGCGAGAAAATCCGGTATTTTTCCACATTGTTACAATTGCATTTTTGCTGATATTGAGAAATCAGAGGTTGAAATATAGGTCTTCATAACTTTTGAGTTGTAATTTTTGAAACCTATTTTTGGTATAGGTAATCATGTGTATATGTAGGCCTTGCAGAGCAAAAATCACTGATTAACATTTAAAACACATCTTTTTTATGGTTTCTTGTTAGCTCACATGGTGAGCTTTTGCAATCACTCACTTGTCCGTCTGTCTGTCCATCCGTCTGTCCGTCCGTCCGTCAACAATAGTGGCACGTTTTAAAACCTCTGTCGATAAGATTCCTGTTTTAAGTTATTTCTGTTCAAGATCAATACAGAAAACCCCCCTATGACTCCTGGTTCAAAAGCTCGCCTATTTTCAAAATGGCCGTCACTTTTGTCTCGCGAAATTCACTTTTGACCCATTTCCTTTAAAACCTCTGTCGATAGGATTCCTGTTTTAAATTATTTCTGTTCAAGATCAATACAGAAAACTCCCCTATGACTCCTGGTTCAAAAGCTCGCCTATTTTCAAAATGGCCGTCACTTTTGTCTCGCGAAATTCACTTTTGACCCATTTCCTAGCTTTACAAATAATTTCAGGTGTCCTACAATGTAGAAATCCATGTCAATGTAAAGGGTAGATATATGTTATAATATTGTTACAAAAAATCAGCGAAAAATTATATGCATTTTTTTATTTTCAGCCATTTTAGTTAACATTGATTTGTCTATCTGACTCGCGAAATCCACTTTTCGTCAATAACAGTGGTACGTTTTAAAACCTCTGTCCATAGGATTCCTGTTTTAAAATATTTCTGTTCAACATCAATACAGAAAACTCCCCTATGACTCCTGGTTCAAAAGCTCGCCTATTTTCAAAATGGCCGCCATTTTTGTCTCGCGAAATTCACTTTTGACCCATTTCCTAGCTTTACAAATAATTTCAAGTGTCCTACATTGTAAAAATCCATGTCAATGTAAAGAGAAGATGTATGAAATAATTTT